CAAAATGTCTATGTTTATAGTATATTCAAAACAAGACAGAAACAATATCTAGTCTGAACAATTAATATAATTGTTCTTATCAGCACTTACAGAAGCATCAGTTCGTTGTGGCGATAGTCCCGCTAAACTGTCAGATTCATCAGCCGAGTAAAGAGATGTCTTTTTAGAACTAGTAGCACCCCTGTCTCCTCCAGAATTAGATTTGACGAACTGTCTCTTAGGTCCCGTCCAATTTTGATATACCTGATAACAGTAAATGATTTCTAATCTAGGTCAAAATCATGTAAAAATTCAATTATCTTTATATCGTTATTCTTTGGACAGGATACTAAATTTATGCTTGCTTAGATAGTATGTATAGTTATATAACAATACGAAGATAATAATGATAATTTTTGTGATAAAGATGGGGAGGGAACTGGGAGATGAGGGGGGAGTCTAAAATAGGGATATGCTGGAAACGTTTCTTTGACGAGTTTTGTCTTGGAGTAAGGGGGAATACATTGGAGTAGGGGACAGAAAATGGGAATCAGTTACCCCTATCCACTCCATCAGTAATTATTCACAATAAAAACAATATTTCAGTATACTGCAAGCATTCTTTGATACATGTGATATTCTGTATTTAGAGTGCATTTTTTTGCCTTGTGGTTTTCTTATCTATTATACTGCTTTAGATTAAAATTTAAAAAAAAACCATCTTTATGTGCATGTCTTAAATCAGAAATCTTGCCAGTATTTGTCTTTTGTCATATCTAAATCCCATATTGTAAGATGCCTAATCACTGGTAAGTTGATTAATACATTTCCACGAGAGTAATACAACATGAGTCACATGTGGTGCATAAACTCATGCATTTCTGAAGCACTAGGGAACACGTATGTTTTGTTAGGGTTCGTAAAGCTGAATTTTTAGTTTTTTCTGAGTCGTGCTACATTATTGTTTTATTTGTTATTCTAGGAAAGATTGGAACCTTAACTAAGTCATTGATTTCATCTATCAGGATGCAGCTGTGCAAGCCATTATTTGTACACACTAAAATAAAGTGATTTTAATCTGGACTCTGGGCCAACACGTCTGTGCTCTTGGACCTTTGTATTTTTGAAGAATTTAACATAAATGAGAGATCTTAATTATACGTCAATGAGATGGTCGTTTAAAAACACAAAATTAAAACCTTCAAAAGGATTAGATTCTTGTAGTATATTTTTAATTCATAAACTTTATGACTTGATGTGTGTACTCCAGAACATGACAAACTGTAAAGACACATGTCTTTGATAAAAATTCGTTTAAATAATTTTTATAATCGTAAAACAGATGTATATCATTAGTCAATATTCAAACAGCTTGATACCAACACTATTTAACTGATCTATATTGCAAATCGACATGTACATTGTACCCAATATTTAATCAGAAACAAGGACATATTATATAATAAGATTGACCTTTATCACTGCATGTATTCTGTGCATTTTTCAGTTTTGATAAACAAAGCAAACGCTAGTTTTATTCAGTTTTTTTAGCAATATAAAGTTTTGTGCAAAAAGGAGCAATTTAAGCATTTTTTTGTGTCCTATTCATACCTTTTAGTTTGTTTACACATTTGCAACTCTATTTCCTTCTTAAATATAAAAATATAAAATGGTCTGGGTACAAATGAGACGGCTATCTAATGACTAAAGGACAAACATGTGAACAATTACACGTCACTGAACGCCCTTCAACAATAAGCAAAATCCATAGTTCATAAAAAATTTTGAACGATTTAACTAAAGTTGGAAAAAAACAACAATTTCATTTATACTATCATAATGAACGAAAAACATAAAGTGTAGTACAACAACCACGGAATTACAGGTCTCTGACTTGGGTCATGTACATAAAGAATGTGGTCAGGGTTAACATGTTTGGGAGCGTTTAAACCTCCCAAGCTGACCTTGGACTGATGTAACAAAGCAACATTAAACAACCTGTAAAAATAAGTTAGAAAGGTCTGGATAATCAGATAGGCACATATCACAAAATAATAACCAAAAAGACAAAAGACACAAATCGGAGTTTTGTGGACTTGTTTGTCTTGAGCATTTCGACGTTTTTTGTTTTTGTTTTTTGTTTTTTTTTTGTTAATTGACATGGCGTTGTAAGTTTTTCGTCGAATTTGAATGTTTCCTTGATATGTTCTGCTTACTTTTTACCTGTGTCGCCAAATGCGAAATCAGTTCTGGTAACCAATTAACTTCATCCGTCATTTCATCCGTCCGAAAGACCTTGGGTAGAAAAGTCTAGTAAAATTTTTCTTGGCTTCTATAAAGGAATGATTTCATTTTTGGTCTGCAGTTTGATTATGCTGAGTTGCTACGTTTAAGCAAATTTTATATCTGCTGTGCAGCTACTTCCTGTCTGCCGACTCACGTAACACGGATAATGTTCGTCCATCTTTCTTGGCTTCTATATATGTAAGGAAATGTTACACAGAGTACCGATCTTAGAATATGAATGAATGAATATTTTATTACAGAAAGCAATAAATATGCTATAGCAACTAAAACATATTTACATGACAAATGATAAACAGCAGAGAGCAATACATGAAAAGCATAATATGAATCAAACAAATGATAAAATAACAAAATTACCGAACTCAAAGGGAAATTCAAAACGGATTGTAACAATATGTGATCTGATTGACCACACATATTTTATGTAATTACACAATTTCTTTATAATCATAACAGACGTTAATTTAGATAAATACTGTAATTCATTTATGTTATAAAGAATTCAATTAAGAATACAAGCCGTTACTGAAACATGCATTACAATATGGTTTCCCCTTATTCAATGCTTTACTTCAATCTAAGGAAAAGTATCACTTCATGATTATTTATTTTACTATTTTCTGTTATGAATGTGTAATCAACTCATTGATACCATATATTGGTTGAGAATGACACTATATTGTGGATTATTATAAGTCTTGGAATATATGCTATTTAAAAAAAAAAAGAAAAGCGCTTCTGACGCATGAAATTGTTGAACGTGTTGTTTTCATTTGTAGAGCACTGGGTCGATACCTCTGCTTGTGGACTATCAGTCCCCGAGGGTATCATCAGCTCAGTAGTCAGTACTTCGGTACTGGCATGATTTATAACAAACCTTTCTAAACTTGTCCGTTTATAAATTTTGAAATTATAAAGAAACTAAGCTTTCAACTCCTTCAGACAAAGTTGGCTTTAGATGGATGTGGCTATTTTTTAACTAAAGAAAAGGGAAAACATCATCTTGTCAAGTTTTTTATTTTCTCGTTCAGGTATATTGATAATGTTCTGTCAATCAATAACCTATATTTCAGCTAGTGTTTGCATCATGAATTCGAATAAACTTGACATTAATGAGACATCAAAAGCTACCTCGTATTTGGATCTTTTTCTTACAACTAACAAAGATGGACGACTTCAAACTACTGTCTGTGACAAATGTGCCTCATATATCTCAATTAATATTCTGAGTTCTTAGCAGTAACATTTACCTCAGCCTCACTCAAGATTTCAAACAGCAAACTTACATTGTTTTCCGGCTTAATGTTATATTCATGGTGTTGAATGAATCAGTATAAACACAAATAGAACATGATGATTGTTATTCGACTCTGGAATTCAATTAAAAAACAATACGCATAAGAATTTTACATATTTGGTAGATACCATGCTAATTTGGTTTCGCTCATTAGTCTATACATTTTAAAATGAACTCTTGAAAGTCTCCGACAGAAAATATCATACATTTTGTACAACAGAATACATTCAGGCACGTATATAAGTATAGAAATTTTTTCTTCAGACTGATTTTAGACTGTTTAGTTTATGTCCTGACAATATCAGACTGAGTTAAGACTGTTAAGGATGCCTTTAGAATGTCAAACATGTGTTGAGACAAATTTAGAGAGTTGAGACTGTTAAGGTAGATGGGGAGGGGGGGATAGATTAAAATATGCTTTCAGATAATAAAAGAAATAATTATAATGCGGTCACCAGACTCATTTTCTTGCTACATAATAAAATAGGTAAATTCACAGCACCATTCTGTTATAAAAGTTACTTTATCTGAGTCATCTTCCCTTAAGTGGCAAAGTTTTAAAAAAAAATGAATCAAACAATATATTCTTTTTTTGTAAAATACAGCCGTAAAATACGATAAAACACATAATTTTCTATATACTAACATGAACAGTTTTAGACATGAAATATATACTACTCTCGAAATTTGCACATCTCCTTAGATGAATTAGACCAATTGTTATCTGCTATTTCACAATCCAAGATGGAGGAAGACACCCCAGCTTCATTAAGAATGTGTTGAGTCAAATTCATAGAGTGTTGAGACTGTTCAGAATATGTTGAGACAAATTCAGACACTATTAAGACTGTAAAGAATGTATTGAGACATATTAAGACATTGTTCAAACTGTTAAGGAACAAAGTTAAAAACAAAATCCGAATAATTTGATAAAATTAAGACAGAGTTAAGACAAACTCGGGAAAATTAATACTGTTCAACATTTTGATTTTAACTGTTAGTTCCTCATTGAAATTCATAGTAAACCGAGCTGAATGCAAAATTGTTTTTCTTTCGTGTGTCAAAATATTTAAAAACTGTTTGATTTTAAAATGTTCTTTCTGTTGATGTTACATTTGCTTTTTTATTTCACATTTTCTTTATGGTCACCAATTTTGGTATGCTGAATAATTTTTTTTATCTGAGACTGTTTATTTTTCTGTTTGCAAGTCTCAAATATGCACACTTTTTGAAAATGACCCTTATCTTTTGTCAATATTTTGACAATGCATACCTACATGTACATTGTACTCAACATTTTCATTATCAGAGACAAGGAAGCATATTTAAACATCTGTCTTTTCACTACATGTACATCTGCACTTCTAATCTCCGCAGTGTTACTAAACAAATCATACGTTAGTTTATTCTTTTATAGCAATTCAAGAGAACATTCGAAAGGAGCAAGGTATGCATTTTAATTATGTTCCGCTTATATTTTCTGTTTGTAATGTTTGCAACTTTACAGCATATTTACTTGTTGAATATAAAAGCAAGAAAATATACTAGTAGTATAATTACCAATGCGACAACTATCCATTGACTAAAAGGAATGATTTGTGAACAATTACAGGTCACCGTATGTAAAGAACAAAATCCATTCATTAAAGTAGGATATTAAGTGACCAGTGTGTACACAATGTGAAATAATTCAAAAGAGTATAAAAAGTGTTCTGATGTTGTGGTATATATATATATATATATATTGCATGCACACGTATAAAAATTGCGGTTTTTATCCAACGCAATCATAGGTTTGAACGTTGTTTTCAATTTAGACTTGTTTATATTTTTTCGTTTGGGCTTGTATTATATTTGCCTTTGGGTTTATATGATCCGTTCATCCTATTTCGACTCTTTTCAAAATTCAAGAGTCTATCCTAAATTGAGGTAAATTATATGGCCTTCCAAATACCGTTTCGATTCCTAACATCACTGAAGAGACATTAATTGTCGAAATCCGGATATGGTGTACAAATTTTTGCACCTCATGTTTGCGGTATACCATCTTTTCCGCAAGTTTATTGTTTTCTGTTTGGTAATAAATTAATAATAAGATCCATTTTTACATCTGGTGATCCGTTTATTTGGCAATCGCCAATGGCAGTCAGCAGGGTTTAAGAACATCAGTTGTTCGACCTGCTAGTCAAATGCGTTTTGTTAAAATATACTTTTTCACTTTTTTGGTCTTTTGGGGAATGTTGTTTGTGCTGTATTTAGACCCCTCTACCAAGAAATTTGTTTTGCATGCACACGTATAAAAATTGCGGTTTTTATCCAACGCAATCATAGGTTTGAACGTTGTTTTCAATTTAGACTTGTTTATATTTTTTCGTTTGGGCTTGTATTATATTTGCCTTCGGGTTTATATGATCCGTTCATCCTATTTCGACTCTTTTCAAAATTCAAGAGTCTATCCTAAATTGAGGTAAATTATATGGCCTTCCAAATACCGTTTCGATTCCTAACATCACTGAAGAGACATTAATTGTCGAAATCCGGATATGGTGTACAAATTTTTGCACCTCATGTTTGCGGTATACCATCTTTTCCGCAAGTTTATTGTTTTCTGTTTGGTAATAAATTAATAATAAGATCCATTTTTACATCTGGTGATCCGTTTATTTGGCAATCGCCAATGGCAGTCAGCAGGGTTTAAGAACATCAGTTGTTCGACCTGCTAGTCAAATGCGTTTTGTTAAAATATACTTTTTCACTTTTTTGGTCTTTTGGGGAATGTTGTTTGTGCTGTATTTAGACACCTCTACCAAGAAATTTGTTTTGCATGCACACGTATAAAAATTGCGGTTTTTATCCAACGCAATCATAGGTTTGAACGTTGTTTTCAATTTAGACTTGTATATATATATATATATATATCCACTGTTCCAGGTAAGGGTAGTGTTGAGCGATCACAACCATGTTGAATCCCGTCATACTTTATGTGTGCCTGTCCAAAAACAAGTAATTGTCATGTAGTGGCTTTCATTGGTTGCTGTCTACCATATTTAATTTTGATTAGTTACCTTCTTTTCTATCCTCTCAGTAATAACTGATAAAATATTCACAATAAAAACAATACCATAATTCAGTATACTGCAAGCATTATTTGATACCTATGATAATGAGTATTATCATATACTTAAAGTAAATAACTTATAATTTGTACAGTATGATAATACATGTAGCATCAATTTTACGTGAATTCCATATTTTCCGAATGGTGTTTATCGGGCTGATATGAAAAATTTATCACATGCTTCAAGCTATTATCACATGCCTTTCCGTAACGTTATCGCGAGGCATACCGGCATTACTCGGCAAATTCCGGAAAATACACCTCAATGGTACGTTTTCAGTGAAAAACATAGCAAAGTAGGGTACAATTATTTTTTTAGGAAACAGGAAAATATATTATTTAAAATGAAAAAAAAAAAAAACAAATGACACAATAAATACATTTTTTTCAAAGTTTCCAGCATAATTAAGAAAGTTACTTTACAAATGTTGACCTTTCCAAACAGTGTTCATTATGTGTTGTTGAATTTTTTTTTATCGTCAATATAAAAAATATATTATACTGTTTTTCACCTCTGTTGAGGCATATGATAGAAAGATTTCATATCGGATATATTACATTTGGCGTCCGACGTCCGTAAAATTTTCACTTTTGAACTTCTAATTGAGAACCACTCAAAAGGATCAATGTATAAAACTTTATTTTTCTCCATTATTGAAGCATATGATAAAAAGATCATAACATGTCATTTTTCATATCAGATAATTTATCAGCCCTCGGTCAATATCAGCCCTCAAGCCTTCGACTCTTATGCTGATTTTGAACCATGGGCTGATAATACATCTCATATATAAAAAATGCAATTGAATAATCTGATAATATTTGTTTCTTTTATTCTGTGGTCTTAGTTATCTATGATACCGTTATTTAAATTGAAATCTCTAAAAACAAGCATGTTTTTGTGATGACCTAAGTCCGGAATCTTGCCAGTAAACTTTTGTCATATCTAAATCCTCAGTTGTGAGCTGCCTAATCACTTGATAGTCTTGATCAAGAGTAACACAACAGATGTGTCTAGTGAAGCATGAGCTGCTGACCCTACTAGTGATCAGATATCACCTCTAGTGTTTCGGTAGGTTCATACTGCTCAATATTTAGTTTTATGTGTACAGTTTGGTTATTGTTGTTTGTTTTTCATCATTCTTTGAAGGATTGGAACCTTTTCTAAGGCAACAGTTTCTTCTATCAAGATGTAGCTGGGGTATCAACTAAATATATTCACACTGAAAAATAGTATTTTTAACTATAGGTCAACAATAATTCCCTCTACTCCTTAATGCGACTTGTTTGAAGGAGAAGCAGCAATAATATTTCGGTTTATTTGTTTTATATTTTTTTACCTTTAACAACTTCTATATTAAGTAAGAGATGTGAAGAATACGTCGAGGAAATGGCAGTTTAACTACCAACGACCAATGTTTTGATTCTTGTAGTATTTGTTTAGATCATTAACTTTATGCCTTGATGTTTATACTCTATTCAGACCTTGGCATAAGGTAAAGACACATGTATTTGATTAAAGACCATATGGTGATCTATTATATGTGTTTTTTATGCTTACCCCCAAAAACAAATCGGGAACATAGTCTTTGCCTTGTGTCTAAAATATTGCTTTGATAAAATATCTTACTTGATTGAAACCAATGAAAGAAATTTGGAAGAAGATGAGGCATATTGATTTTAAGGTTGCAGAAGAAGTTCATTATCGCTGTTTTTTTTAATAAAATCTAGTGATACCATTTATCAATGTGCAGTTTGGCGCAGATACGTTGGTTATCTTTCTTCCTGTTTAATTCATTTGTTTACCATGTTGTTGGTCGATATTTGATTTGTATGTCTTTTTACACAGAGTACCGATCTTAGTATATAAAAGAATGAATGAATATTTTATTACAGAAAGCATTGAATATGCTATAGCAACGAAAATAATTTAGATGACAAATGATAAACAGCAGAAAGCAATACATAAAAAGAATAATAAAAAACACACAATTGGTAAAATAACAAATATACCGAACTCAAAGGGAAATTCAAAACGGAATGTAACAATATGTGATCTGATTGACCACACATATTTGATGTAATCACACAATACCTTTATAATTAAAACAGACGTTAACTTAAATAAATACTGTAATTTAGTAATGTTATAAAGAATTTAATTAAGAATACTTGCTGTTACTGAAACATGTATTACAATATGGTTTCCCCTAATTCAATGCTTTACTACAATCTTAGGAAAAGTATCCTTTTACGATTATTTGTTTTACTATTTTCTGTAATGAATGTGTAATCAACCCATTGATTCCATATATTGGTTAAGAATGACACTATAGTGTGGATTATTATAATTCTTGGAATATATGCGATTTATATATTAATGGAAGTGAAGTATAGGTTAGTTAGACCCAAATGACTGAAAAAGGGGAAAAATCATCTTGTCAAGTTTGGATCTTTTTCTTACAACTGACAAAGATGGACGACTTCAAACTTGAGACAAATTCATAGTGTTGAGACTGTTAAGAATATGTTGAGACAAATTGTTTTTCTTTCGTGTGTCAATATATTTAAAAACTGTTTGATTTTTAAGAGTACTTTCTGTTGATGTTACGTTTGCTTTTTTTTTCATAATTTCTTTATGGTCACTATGTTTAGTAAGTTGAATACAAATTTTAATCTAAGACTGTTTATTTGTCTGTTTGCAAGTCTAAAATTTGCACACTTTTTGAAAATGATCCCTATTTTTTTGTCGATAGTTAAACAGTTTGACACTTCCATATAAAGCTAATCTATAATATTGACACACGAAAAAAAAAACAATGCACATTGTACTCGACATTTTCTTTATCAGAAACAAGGACGCATATTTAAAAATCGTTTTTTCACTTCTTGTACATCTGCATTTCTACTCACGACAGTATTACAATTAAGCATACGCTAGCTTATTCTTGTCATAGCAATTCAAATGAACATTCAAAAGAAGCAAGGTATGCATTTTAAATATGTTTCGTTTATATTTTATGTTTGCAATATTTGGACTGTACAGCATGTTTACTCGTTGAATATAAAAAGGCAAGGTTTATGAACAATTACAGGTCACTGTACGTGACGAATAACACTCAAACCTTATACTAGGATATTAAGTGTCCAGTATGTACAAAATGTGAAATAATTCAAAACAGACTGACTATAATTAGCAAAGACCCATCGAAACAACATCTGATACAAAAATTTAATAACACAAAGATATTTGGACGATTCATTGGCTCTTAATAATGACGATTTCAGAATGTACACTCAAGTGATTTATCCTGCTGAACTGAATTTAA